TTCGAATTCCTCCGTGTAACCCAAACTTATGCAGAATATTTCACTGCTCACCGGCTGGTCTTCACAACAGAATCTTAGAATGAATCCTTCCAAGTGTAATGATGTTTTATTTTCTTTACTGAAGGGTGATCAATATATTGATGTGATGAACTCTTGTCAGCATGTTATTATCAATGGTGAAGAATTTTCCAGAGCATGCTCCGTCAAATATCTTGGGGTCACTATTTCCCGCAATCTTTCTTGGTCTCGTCATGTCGTCGAGACATTTCACAAAGTCAGAAAACTCATCTTTTATATTATTCGTTTGAAGATGCTATCTACCCAAACTCACTTAATAAAGCCTTTTGTTTTATCCTGCATCCTTCCCCACTGGCTTTATGCATCCCCTGTTATTTTTCCGGGTCTTTTAATCAAAGACTTCAAACTCATACGCACATCCATTAAACACGTATGTCGATACAGCGGCATATCCCTTGAGTATGTTGCGCAGTTTATTATTTCACAGCACCTTAGGGCATGCCAGAAACTTTCTACCAGAATACTACTTGACCCATCTCACCCACAGTACCCTCATCTTAGTCAATGTATCTCCACATCTAGAACTCGTTCCATGTATAAACATATAGCAGCACGCACCACTACATACAAGTCTTCTATAATACCGTACTTGGCACGGTTTCTTACCAACATTGATCATATCATTGGGACTCTTAGACAAAATCTTTGCTAAATTGGCTTTTTGTATATGTAACGTATCATCATACGTTTTGTTACCATATAATTTCCAAAGAAGAGTGATTGTGTAGTAGCTGAATGTTCATTCCCTATGGGGAGAATTAAAGCCACTTCTTGACTTGACCAGGTCTGAAACCAGCCTGGTTCTCACGTGTGCAGTATTTACGTGAGGCAAACAACCGACAGAGTATAATATCAGCGAGGAGTTTAGAGACGATGTTGAATAAACGAATTCCTCTGTAGTTTACACAAGAAGATCTGTCCAATTTCTTGTAGACCGGTATGATGACCGATTCAAAAGATCCCGTTGGGATCTGTTTTATCTCCCACACTGGGATTTGCGCGCTGTCTGATATCCGGTTTCGGAGGGAATGGTATTACGATCGTCCATCAGGGCAGCTGAAGTTAAGGAGATTCATAGTTTGTGTTTGATTGCGCGCCGGGATCCGCCGCTGTTTTGATTGAAATTTACATACCTTTCTTGACTGGCTGGTGGTTGACTTGAGACGCGATCAGATAATTCTGCTTCAAAGACCGATTTGCAACTGTCACCTACATTTTATTGTGGGAATCCGTTTCCGATACTTTTCTCTGCGGTGGTTTATCACACACAGGGAGAATCTGGCTTGTTGTAGAACGTAATCTGTGTCCACCGGTGTTGATCAGTAAGAGCGGCAGTCTTCAATGGGTCCTCGCCAACGGTGGCTGATGGCGATGTGATTAATTTGAGTCCGTCGAAAACCAGCATTTTTCCGATATGTTGACTGAACTAATCCCTATGTAGTTTTCAAAAGAGAACCCATCACTTTATGAGTGGGTGAGAGGACCAACTCATACCAGACCAGACACAGCATCAACCAGCACATCAACGGGACGTGTATAAAACGAACTTACGCAAATCCAACTGGATCGGTTTGAGTTGTACCGAGTACGGCCGGTTTTTGTAGATCACGTCCAGGATTTTCTCCTTCGCCTGTGATATTGTATCACAGTCCAACACCCGAACGGTCACGTGTTCCGAGGACAATTGGAACAGTGACTGTGGATCAGTGACTAGTAGGTTCTATAAATTTATTGCACAAAAAAAGAATTAATGTACATGAATGAAGATGTACTGGGGTGAGCTCAAATGACAACGAGAAAGGAATTGATGAACCACATATACAAAAGAACGTTTTGATCATCATCATATCATGCAATGCAGCCGTTTACATTAGACCTTGACAACTTGCCATTCAGTTTCAGTGTGAGTAATTTTCATGTCTCACTGGACATTTTAGTACATGGTTTTTTTACATTTTCCCTCTCTTAGAGATTGTCAGAGAACCACCAGAACCACCA